AAGGGAGTAGGGGTGGGCTGAACACTAGGTGTAGGGAGACAGGAGATGGATTTGGGGGTCCATTCTCCTAAAATGTCCCTGAATCCCCCTCTAGACATAGTTACCACCCAGTCTATGTTTCACCTCAGACCGTGAATGGCCTCTCAACTGCTCGCCCTGCTTCCACCACTTGTATCATGTGTTCTCACATGGCAACCAAAACAATCTTAGCAAAAAGCACATTGACCATGTTTCTCACCTGCTAACATTCTTCAATAGCAGGCTAGCAGGCCTAGCTCTTGGACATGGGCACCCTCCCACAAGCAGTCTGTGTCTGCTTCTGCAGCTGTGGTTCCGGCCTCACCTGGCATCCTGGCTTGCAGGGTTGTAGCCACATTGGACGTGTTCATCCATGGTCGTGTTCTTCCTCTGTAACTCCTCAACTGTTCCTCATCCAGCAGGTCTCAGCTGCAATAGAATATTCACAGAGGGGTGTTTCTGGAGCCTCTGTCAATTGAGTTCCTCTATTTCCTTTACTTCACCTATGTTTTTCCTTTATAGCATTTAGTGCAGTTTGTGTGTTGGTGCCTGTAGCACCAGCAAGGTGTGGAGAAGGTTTTCTATGATCCAGGAAGATGAGTAAAGGAGAGTCTTGGAGCCCTCAGTGGCTTTTTCAGGATTTTAATGATCTTTGTACACCATTTGTGGGGAGGCACCCAGGTACATGGCAGGCAGGGTGGCCTGGGGAGCCAGGAGGCTGGCAGGACCTGCATTGCATGGTCCTCTGCTGCCTCCCAGCCTCTGCTGCTGCCCTTACATGGTCATTCTCTTGGCTCAGGTGTGTCCACTTATGCTCACCTGCACCTCACTCCAGGTGTTGCCATCGGGCGGGCGTGTAAGACCATAGGTGTCTGTCATGATGCTAATGGCAGGAGGGCAGAAAAAAATCTGATAACCTGATAACTTCCATTTACTCTACAGGGTCTCAAGATACCACTGTGTTTGGAGATTTGCTAGAACTTATAGGATTTGGCATGTAGTTGACTCATGCAAAGACTTCCTCGTGCTTTCTCCAATGTGGCCACACAGCACACTTCTCTCCCAGCAACAAAAATGCAGCAACATGTGTGTGATGTTTCTGTCCTGGGAAACCCATTAGAGAGACTCGGCACCTAAGATTTTTATTGAGTGTGGTCAAGCAGGCACCCTCTGCCTACACTTACCCAAATTCCAGAGCCCCAGAAGGAAAGCAGGTGTTCAACATAAACCACATTGTTTGCACAAACAGGAGGCCAAGGGGGTCACTCTCAGCAGTAACTGGGAGCCAAGTTCCCAGACGCCAGCTGAGAACCAACCTTGAAAGCAAGTCTTAGGCATAGCAATCTCAGGTCTACTTGGTTAACTATTTTTCTGCACAATTTGTAGCTAGAACTTTATCTCTGTGTTTCTTTATCTATGGTCTGTTATGAGGGAGCAGAACTACCAGGAGAGGGGAAGGAAGAGTGGACAGAGGCGTGGACATGACGGGAGAGATATCCTTTAGCACTGCCCTGGGCCTGGGTGGTTTTCTTGCTGCAGTTTCAGTGCAAGTTAATTTTATTTTATTTTTTGTACACATGATTTTTATAATTTTAGGCAATTTAACTGAGTCAGAGTTTTGACTCACAGGATTTTTAACACTTGGTCTTGAATATAGATTCTGCATAGCACTAGCTGTGTGACCACAGGCTACTCCCTTATCACTCTGAACTGCAGTCTCCTTAGCTGTGTTACAGGCAGAATAAAATTATAAACTTTACAGAGTTATTGTAAGGTGTAGGGTAAGGTAAAAAGTATCAGGCTTTTCTGCCCTCCTGCCATTAGGATAGATGACGGAACCCTGAGTTCCCGAGTACATGCCTGATGGCGGGCACCTGGAGTAGGGTGTGGGCATAGGTAGATGGGATTCACCTGGGCTAAGACTGGGCTTTTAAGGGTGGTGTCATGGGGACGCCAGCAGAAGCAGAGAAGCAGAAGCAGAAGCACCACGAGAACAAGGCCACCAGGGAAGGCCGGAGAGCCCAGATAAGAGCAAAGACTTGCTAGGGGCTGGGAGGCCTGCCAGCCTCCCGGCCCCCCCGCACCCCTCCCTGCCGTGTACCTGGTAAATCCCAATAAAAGCCTGCAAAAGCCACTGAGGCCTCAAGGACTCTCTTCCTTTACCCGGTCTGCTGGATCATAGAAAACCTGCACTGTGCCCATTCCTGTCCTTGCATAAGGCCTAAGTGATACCACAAAGAACCCGACACAGTTTCTGGCACATGGCAAATTCTTTAGACTATTCCACGGTATTAGAATAATTTTATAACTCCTGGTAGCCTATTTCTTTTTTTTTTTTTTCCACACCAAGGTAGCCTATTTCTTGAGGTCATTCAGATGGCTCTCTTTGTTTCTGACTATAACTGATCAAAACATGGGTATGAAAAGAACTCTTCTCTCTTTGGGGGGATTCCTACAGGGAAATCACAGTTCTTCGTGCTTAAACATCCTGTGTGCTCACTTGGGAAGAACTACACAATTATTTAGCAGTATTTTTCTGACTGCTGATTTCCTTTCTTCCAAAGCATTTAGAATTCTATTTCTGTGTTTAACTGTAGTTAGAATGTTCCCATTAATTTTCATCTAGGGCCTTCAGTGAGTTTACAGTTTTGCTGGGAGCCTGACCTTCGTAAAGAATAGTAATATTCGGCTAAAGACTTTTTTATTGGCCTTGACACTGTCTTTTTGACCATTGGAAGCTTATTATTCTCACAATGCTAGTTAACATATGTGACAAGCTCCATTATCTATTTAGCATTTAGAAAAATAGAGCCTTAAGCAATGAAATAGGTCAACAGAGACAGCATGGATGACAGTCTTGCAAAGACATTGGACCTACAAAAATTTATATCCACTTTCCCAAATTAGAGATACCAAGCCTCCTTCACCCACTTGTCTAAGTTTCTCACTGCTTCTAGGATGAACCTTCCATTAAAGCAGTGATGAAAGTGACATTTCTTGCTATCACAGAATTTACACTTATTTTAACCATAGAACTTTTAAATGTATCCAATGAAGTAAGACTCAGGGGATTTGGAGAAATGCATTCTCACTCAACTTGTTATATTCTCATTACAGCTTCCGCTCTCAAAATTTTTTATGAAGATTGAAGCACTCTTTGGATGAAAGTATTGAACAGCACCTTTTGACAGTCGTAACCATAGTCTTTAGGTTAGAGATGGATGCCTGTATTAAAATAGTGAGTTTATCCAATGTTGCTTGCTGATTAGGACAGACAGGCCACTTTCTCTCTCCTGGGCTGTAGAATTTGGCTTCTGGCAAGTCTCACTTATTCCTGGAGAAGTGTTCGGTCTGTGCATTTAATTCCCTGCCCACTTTGCTGCTCTCTGTTGCTATCTATTAAGTGTCAGGCTCTACAAGGGACATGGTGATGTTTCATGGGGTCATGTAGTGGTGGAAGATTTATGGGGGATTACATCTGAGGGGAGAAATCAAATATTGTACAAAAATGAACAATGATGTAAGAAAATAAATAATGCACACAAAAAGATACCTGATAACACAGTAATTATCAAATAATTATGCAGTATCATATATTTTTTTAAAGATTTATTTATTTATACAAGATTGATTGGTTGATTGATTGATTGATTTATACAAGCACTGGGTACAGTCAGAAGCGCGGGAGGGTGAGAGAATTCACCAGAGCCAGAGTGGGGAGCAGAGCAGGCAGAAGGACCGAAGTACACTGCTGAGGGGAGCAACGGGCAGCAGGAGAGGTCTGCGCGCCATGTGGGACCCTCCTCTGGTGGCCAGGGAGCAGCTGGGGATCGAACCGGCACTGCAGAGGCAGCGGGCAGCTTTGCAACCCAGCACTCAACCGCTGCGCCACCGGGGAGGCCCAGTAAATCATATTTTTTAATCTCTACAGGTGGGAAAACTCTCTCTATTCACTGCTTAACATTAAACTTTGTTAAATAAACTTTCAGTAAAATTAAAAAAATTAAGTGTCAAGCTCTGTGGTGAGATCTGAGTAGCCAAGGTCACCTGGACCCAGTCTCAGCTCTCAGCTCTTCTGGACATGCAGTGGACATTGTGAAAAAGAATTTCATGCCTCTGTTTAAGCAAACTCCTAAGTGTAGTCACATGACCTCATAGACTCTTGCTCTGGGCTGAATTGTGTCCTGCCCAAAATCTTCTGTTCAAGTCCTAAACACCCATATCTCAGGAAGAGACAGTATTTGGAGACAGGGTCTTTAGAGAGGTCATGAATTAAAATGAAGTCATGAGGGTGGGTCCTAATCCCATCTGACTGGGGACCTCATAATAAAAGGAGATTGGGACACAGACCCCTAAGAGAGAAGACCATGTGAAGACAAAAGGAGTAGATGGTCCTCTACAGAGCAGTCAGAGATGCCTCTGAACAAATCCAAGCCTGCTGATAGCTTTCTTGATCCTGTACTCTTAGCCTCCAGAACTATGACTGTGTAAACCACTTAGTCTGTGGGACATTGTAATGGTGGCCTGAGCGAATCCATCCATATGATCTTCCATGAGTCATATGGAAGATGGGACATTAGTATTGCTTTGGTTAAAACACTGCATTAGCATGTGTGACTTAGCTCATCTATTGAGATGCTAATTAATGATAGTATAGTGCTGGGAACTCTAAAGATAGCATTTTACTAACCTAGTTTCATGATCCCTGAGTCCGCAGGCTTTTCTCCACACATCTGGAGCAAGGAGTGGGACTGCTTGTTCATCTCTAATGGAAAGATGAGGTCTTGGTGCAAGAATAGAACCCTCGTCACTGACCTTGAGTATCTGAAGCAGAGAAAATTACTCGTGCGGTGAGGTTGAAGGCAAAAAAGGAAAATGACAAATCGTATGTTTAATTTGTGTTGAAAAATGAAAGGTATAAATTCTATGTTTGGAAAAAAGATGGAAAGGAAACATCACATTCATGGTAATTGTTTGAAAGCTGGTATTACAGTTCATCTTTTCTTCTTTTCTATGATGTACTTTTATGCATTTCCCACATTTTCTAAACAAAAGCAACAAAACGTGTCTTTTAAAAAAGATTCCAGGTGCAATGGTAATTTCCTTCTTTTCCTGCTTCAAAACCCTTCCTTGGTAAAGCAAGTAAAGTAGGAACCTAAAACATTTCTTTATTCAAACCTGGATGATTTGAACCTTGGGATGATTCTTCATACCTTTGGTAAAGGGAATTTACACAGTAAATTGATACACAGTGACTAGTCTATTTTAAAAATTAAATTGTTTCTAAATACTTAAAAAAGAAAAACACAGCAAGTTCGACTGTAGTAGTGTCCAGTTTGCATTTTTAAAAGTTACCTTTCTCTGATGTGCGCATTAAAGGTGTTCATTAAAGAGTGCCCCCCTTAACAATCCTTGTTCCTGATACTGCAACCATAAAATATTAGTAAACACACACATGGTTTATTGACACCGTTCTATCAGCTTCACAGATATTAACTCAAGAAACCCTCACAAGAAGGACACTGGTATTATTCTCATCTTTCCAAGGAGAAAACTGAAATACAAAGAGGTAAAGAATTTGCCCAAGCTCATACAATAAATGGTGGAGCTGAGATTTGAACCCTGGCAGTCTGGTTTCCAAGCTGTTGTACTTAACTACTTTCCACTATGGAGGACTCAGAATAAAAGATTTTCTCCTTTTCTGAAACCAGTGTGGCATGGCATTAATGCAACAAAGACCTTACCTTTTCTTCCTTTTTTTCCATACACGGGAATTAGTCACATGACTGTCTGCCTGGTGGGTTGTAGTAATGAGGAATAAGCTCGCTGACTGAGTGTCCCTGAAGACACTCCAGTGCTGATAGTATCATCTCATGCTCCATCTCCACTGTTTATTTGCTATTTCTAAGATTCTGGAGGACTTTCTTAAAAGTTTCAAGCCATTCAAGTGAACACTATTCAGAGTATGATCACATTTCTCTCTTCCATTCATTTTCTAACAACTTTCTCTAGTTAGAGATGCCCAATTTAACAGGGAATAAATTAGTAGCCCCTGTAATAAATCTTGGGAAAACCTAGCGAAAATACTCCCTTGCTGCATTTGGAAGATCAAATAAGCAAGCAAGCTCATGGTCTTAGAAGAAATTAAATTCTTAGAAACTCTCCCCATCACACAGATGCAAAGACAATTGCAGATTAATTAATTAAAGTGAATTAAAAGAGATAAATACAAGAGAACATTCCCGAAGATGGCTTTGTCAATATTTTAAATTGGAACTCCAATTTCCAGGAACAGCCTATTTAAGTGACCAGTTCATTGAACATGCTTCTTATTTGTATGCATGGAAAATCCAAGGGACCCATCACAGAGCTAGCCAAGAGGCTGCCCACGGGAGACGTTCATCATGGTTCACTCTTTCTCTTCCGGTGGAGGCAGCAAGTGGTAGACAAAGTTCCTTGTTTATCTTTGATGAAGTTGCTTTCTATTTCCAGGAGAGTTTCCCAGTTTATGTGTGAGGTCAGTCAATGTTATCAAGAAGGCTGGCTGGGCATCTGTGTCTGGCACCTCTAGTTTTGGTAGTTATGGCTGGAGTTGGGTGGGTAGAGCTTCAGGGTCCTCACTAAGCTTTGTAGTAGAGGGTCCTTTGATTATTCTGTGCATGAAAATCAGATAGAGAATAGATAGCATATTAAATTGGGTAAGGTGAAAAGCCAACTAATGGATTGCCAAAGGGGAGAGAGAACAGGAAGGTAGATGTGCAGTTGGCCTTCTGCCTGCCTGTGGGCAAGTGGAGTTGCCTGAATTGTTCTAGGAAAGAGTCAAGGCTGAAGAGAGTTGCTTAAATTCTCCCCACAGTCTGTGCCCTGAAAAATGAACTGAAAGGCCCCCTACCCATTGCCCTCCTGCCAACAAGTGCTGGGGCCAAAACGGCAGCTCCTTCTGAAATGCTCTACCCTAGAGGGATCCAGCATTGGAACTTTGGCTGCAAGTGCTGTATTATTTTAATTCTCCTCTAGCTTCTAGCATTCACCGACTAGCAATGCAGAAAGGATTTGCTATGGGATCACAAGTTCTCACTTTGTTTACCTTTTATGTATTTCTTTAAAACTTTGAAAGTAAGAAAGAAAGCAGGAACTCTAGCAATATGGCAAGCAACCTGGGCCTGAGAGGAAGGTAGTGGCTTCCTACCCACTCAAAAGTTCTGGGTTCCCTGGAGGATTCAGGTGACAAGCTTTACAGACACAGAGGCAGAGGGTTTAGGTTTTAGTGCCTGACCCATTGCTTACTAAATAGTGGGCAATCAGTTTAAACTATCTGATGCTCAGTTATTTAGCTACAAAATGGGCATAAAAGTATATAACCCACAGCTCTGTTGAATGGAATAAAAATCACAACTTTCAATGTGCCTCGAAATTACAAATAATCATTCAAATCTAAATAAGAGCCCATCAGAACTAAAGACTGCAGCTTTCATATAACAAAAGGGATGTAGTCCCTCTGTGCAGAAATCTGATTATTAAAACCCATTTCTTGAATTGTCATCTTTCTCTCAAAAGACTCAAACCTTGTCCTGCCTATTCTCTAGATGGAGAAAAAAACAGCACATGTGATAAAATTGGCTCTTAACTGGTCACCTTCTTCCTTCTATAGTTGATGGAAAATTGTATCCAGGAAATGTCATTCCTATATTCATTCATCCCATATATATTATTAATCACTTGCTCTGTGTCCTTATGGATTTGATTTTGCAAAGTGAGCTGGGCTCATGGAGCCCTCTGTATCTGACAAATGCCTAGCAGATGCCCAGGAATTTGATAGATGAAAGAACAAGTCAAATTGTTTGAACAAACTGACTTTTCCATTGTCTATGGAATGTTTTTCAAGAATTTACAACTATCTTTCATTTCTTTAAATAGAAAAACATTTACAGTTTGTCACTTGTGAAAAACAATTCAAGTGAAACTCTGGGGCATTCAGCCTTTTGGAGGACAGGGTAGCTAGTGATTAAGGAAAAGCTAAAGAAACACAAACCTGAAAAGTGTTGATTTGCTTTCCACCCCCAGGATCAATTCAACGATGAATTGCTATCAATATGTACTTTACAAAGGCTTTTGATAATTCATGCATCAGAATGAGGGTGTTTTTCAGCATGGCTGGGACAGCAAAGAGGCCTCCCCGAAGGTCTATGGTTTGAGTCCACAGGGAGTAGGTCATGAGGATGTTTCTAACGCAGAAGCAGCGAGACACAGCACCCAACACTGCACTGTGAGGTAACGATGAATGATCACTGAAGGAACCAATGGTGGCCCTGTCTCAACAACTTTTTGCCCCTGCCTTGGTGCAGATGTAGAAGAGTAGTCCTCTTCTTGCATAATATTCAAGACATTCCTTCCTTTCCATCGTCCTTGCTTTCTTTAACTAGGATGTCCTTGTCCGCGGTGTTCAACTCATTCAGTCATCCTCTCTCTGAGGCAGGCATTGAGCAAAGGGTGATTTTGGAAGCACGGTCTTGTCTTCTGTGGGTAGGTCATCCAGTAGAAGAGGGAACATTCATGAATCATTACTCTCCAAGTCTGAAAGGTAAGTGCCCTAAAAATGATGTGTGTACTATGCAGTGAATGGTGTATTCACACCAGAGCAGGGCTGACCCTTGGCACTCCAGCGTGGAGAGCAAGCTTAGTGTTCTAGGTCAAGGAAGCAACAAGAAATGGCCTCTCTGACTCCACAGAGGAAGGCCCTTGCTGGGGTCACTGCCTGGAGCCTGGGGTGGCATGGGTGGCTGAGGCCTGGGGATGACAAGGTGTGTGGAACCTGCTGGAGGAAGAGGACAGGGTGCAGGCTGGACTGGATGTGAGGAAAAAGGGATGGGAGGCATCCAAACACTCTGCAGAGGCCCGGCGAGGGCCAGGTAAAAGGGAAGTGTTATTGTAGTCCCTGTACAACCGGTAATAGCCCAGGTGCAATAACCAGGTACACATCTTTCTCTAAATACCACCCAGCATTACTTCCATGAAATATTTTTGGGGACATAAAAAACTTGAAATTTAACATTTGAAGCAAACATAATATATTAAAGTCAAAGATAATAATTTAACATTTGGGTAAAAGACCATAAATGATTTTTGCTACGCTTTGGCATTAGCTAAATCATCAATACGCTTTCAACTTCCTTTTTTTTGGGGGGGGGGTTTACAATTTATTTATATGTTTATAATTAATTAATTTTTTTTCTTACATGGTTGTAGTCCCCATAGTTCTCCCACCACCATATCATCTGTGAACCATCCCCATGTTCCCTTGTGTTCTTTCTTCCCACTTTTTAACCCTGTCCCTCCCTCAACTTCCTTTTTTTCTGCTTGAATTTTGAGTGCTTGGTGCTAAACCTGTTAACAGTAGTTGTCTGTTGGCTTTTCTGAATATTATAGTTTAATTTTAAAAAATGATAAGTTTGGGTACAATAGTGGGAACTGTTAAAAATAAAAGGAATAAAAAGCACATGTAAAAGATACTCGTGTCATAAAGTTTTATGATAACTCTCAGTGACTCCATCGATATTTTCAATTTCACTTTCTGGCAACATTATACCAAGTAGTAATTGCACGTGTAATGATTCAAGTTGGTCTTATGAAAGTTTCTTTTGCATATTCTGTTTTTTTTTTTTTTAAATAATGAACTTTTCATCAACTTGAATTGATTAGGTTGGAATAAGAAATGTAACCAATTGGGCCTCCCTGGTGGCGCAGGGGTTAAAGTCTTAATGCTATTAAGCTATCAGCAGCATCTACAGCACGAGTTTGATCCCCGGCCAGGGAGCTACCCACATGGCTCCCCTCAGCAGTGTATTTCAGTAGACCCCCTTGTTCCTGTTCCTCGCTCTGTCTCTGGTGAATCCTCTCACACACACACCCACAACTCTGGCCTACACCCCAGTTCTTGTACGCATAAATAAAAATAAATCTTTAAAAAAAAAGACATGCAATCAAGTGAGGAATTTGGCTTAACCCCTAAATTCTAGGGTCCAGATATGTGATTCAATTGGTCTATACTCTTTATGATTTGTATTAGTCTGGGTTTCCCAGAAAAACAGGACTGTAGCATATATATGGACAAAGTTCCAAGAACTTTTAGAGAGGACTTGCAGTATTACCAAGGAGATCTTAATATGTTCACTCAATGCCTTTGCAGAGTTTAATAGATCAAATAATTTGTATTCTGTCCCAATAATCTGAGTAGTCCATTTTTCAGGAAACCAGAAAAAGTGAATAATACAAAACTTGACTGTGATATTGTTTACATGTTGGTCCTTATATTCACTTCAATAACGTATAATTAAGTCTCGCAGTTACTCAAATAATTTTATGTTAGGGAGCTAGCATTTAAATGTTGATGGAATGATTGGTTGTTCTTTAGGTCAATGCTGAGAACTGAGCGTCATGTTTACATGATTTCACCTCCTCTAATGTCACAGAGATAGGGCACCTTGTTAAAATGAGTATGCCAGAACTACAATTTAGAGCTAGATTTTAAAGGAAAGGGAGCTGAATATAAATGCCTTTTTTTTTTTGTTTTGTTAATGTCATACTGATTTTTAAAAGCAAAACTAGTTTAATTTCCATGATCAATACTATTGAAATTTTTAACTTGAGGATCTTTTGCAATCCCATGACCCTCATGACATAAATTGGCTGCAAAGATTCAGTTTCACCACAGGTAGGTCATGTATGGAAACACTGGCTGAAAACGAGCAAATAAGGCAGAAACAACTTTGGAGAGGAAGATAGATTAGGACCTGGATTAGAGATAGTAGGGGAGATCTGTGGAATCATGTAGGACACAATCAATACATGGGTCTAAATTACATGAGTAATGAATAGCAGCACAGTAGATTTGGAACATAGGATGGCCAAGTGTTTTATGTAAGGAAAATACAGTAAATATTTTTGACTTGTAGATCATAGGGCCACAGTAGCAGCTCTGCCACTTAGAGCAAAATCAGCCACATATAAAATATAAATGAGTTGGGTGTGCCACATTCCAATGGAACTGGGGAAGAGGAGGGAGGGTGGAATTTGGCCAAATGGCCAAAGTTTGCTGACCTCTGCTCTGGAATATAGAAATGAATGAAATTACAAAATGAGTATGTATGGTAAACAGTAACTAGAAGAGAAACTGGAAAATGCCTACTTCCAAGGAGAAGGTAGAGAGGAGCCATGGAAGAAAAAACAAGCATTTCTAGTGGAAAGAGGGGAGCCTGAAGAGCCGAGTGCCTCAGAGACAAGAGGTTGGTTGGTGTTTTGAGGAGGAAAAGTATGTAATAATGCTAAAATAGCTTTTGGAGATTCCATGGGATGAATGTTGAACAGACCATTGGAGACTGTTGGATTTAGTTGGACAGACGATATTTCTAATTTGTGAGAATGCAGTTTTCAGGCAGAATGAGCACTTAAGCCCATTAAACGCAGGTGGTTGTCAAGGTGACAGATGTGGATGTATGCAAGATGGCATGGTGCTTGAGGGGAAAGCCAGGAAGAGAGTGTTTTTCATATTAAGAGAGATGGGTAAAATGGGGAGAATGAAGAGAAAAAGATCAAGGCATTAGGAGATTTTCAAGACACCAGGAAAGAAGTCCTAAATGTAGCAACCCCTAGATGG